TTGCAAAGTACTAATTATTCGAATGGATTATGCCGTCAACCAACACCGTCATACGATGAATCTTCAGCTACAGCTAACTTGCAGTACCTTACGGAGGTATTGAACGAAAGTGAAAGTAACAGCAGTCGCCTTGCGGAGCAGAATCGCCTTTTAAAAGAAGAGCTACGCAAAGAGATGTGCAATCGAGAGCGAGATTCTCACGTTGCCAACTCAGAGTACCTAAAAAATGTAATTCTTCAGGTAGTGATAATTGTCAGTTATCGGCTGCGTGCAAATTTTCATGCTCATTATAGTATCTCAATCCAAAACTGGCTGAAAGTCGTGAAAAACTTCTTCCGGTGCTCGCAACAATGCTAAAGCTAACTAGAGACGAAGTTCGAACACTCACGCAGTACGCGCACGGTAAATCACTGTTCCCTGAATAGGTATTCGGTAAATAAAGTGTGATGATCAGTGCCTCGACTGATTTACCATAGCATGCAGCCAGATTATTACGAAATAATAAAATAGGCAAATTTTCAAGGAATTCCATTTATTTGGCACTAGCACTGTTGTGCGAAACAGCAAATCTCTACCGACCTTTTGACCAGCATCAAAGATTTTCTTCAGCACGACATTAGCTGTTGATCTCTTTGGTATTTCAAAGACACCATAACGATGAGCTGCAAGCTTCACCAGAAAGAAATGATCTGAAGTTGAGATCAAAAGGACAGTGGCGCTTTACCATCCTAATATGTCATTGTCGTACTGTGCTGCTTTATGTTTCCTGATGATGAATGATGAATACCACGTTGCACCTGGTATTCCTTATGGCCCTATGATACCATGGACAGGGTTCGCAGTTTCACATTATTGTATCAGATATGGTTCGAAGATTCTATCACTTATTGACAGTATTTATGCAGCGAGTTTCTCCAGCAAATTTTTATACCAGGAAACCGATGATCACCAGGAAGGATGAACATCGAACGCAGTTTCAGTAAACAACTTGCTGGCGACATTAGTAACACTTCTGTTTATATTGACTGTAGGTACTCAGATTAAGCAGTCAGGTAACGCCGTTAGAAAGCTACAGCTACTGACAGCCATAGTACATCTTACACTACCTTGTAATGAATACGCTCTTGTGATAAATCCAACTAACATCCGTTTTGCTTATAGATGACGACTCTCGTCAGAAAAACTGGTCAAACTACTTGCATCTGTGGTCAGGAATTAGCTGACGGAAGACTTCCGGTTTCTGATCATGCATTTGTTTATTTGTTTGACATAAAAATATTTAAAATTAAAAATTGTTACAGTACAATTTACGAAGTCATTAATTTAACAAATAGCAAATGCGCTAAACCAACATATCTTGGTCCTGGTGCAGTGCTGAAATATTGCGCATTATCGTTATATTACGAGGCACATCAAAATTTTGCACCTGTCTACGCAGGAATGTGTTGCTGACATGACCCTGAAGGATCTGACGGCACTGGAATTCCGACAACGTTGTAAGGAGGTTGAAGGGATTCAGCCGTAACCATGCCATTTGGCTGGGAATGTACGATCGATGGCATCTGTGCCTATAAGCAAGCAGCTACAGATATCTGCAACAAGCTTCAACTGCAGGAACTGTTACTGTCTGAACTGGAGGCGATGTGTCTTTCATTGAGTAATGGTACAAATTCAATGCGTCGATCAGTTTCGCGTTTACTTCTCTGAGCTGATTGTGAAGGTTGTCGCTACGTTCGATTTCTTTTTCGATCAACGGCGCCATTGCCAGACACTGTTCTGTAAAAGGAAAGGTAATGCATTAGCGACGTCTACGCTGGTGACCATTTCGTGTTAACCTTCTAATTCAGGAAGTTCCGGAACGTCTGGTCTTTGCCCAGTTGGGTCCGTGTCCTGAAGAAGTTCAAGGCAGCGGTCCAGTTTATGCTAAAACACGTTGATTGACCTTCAAATGAAGCTGGTTAGCATGGAAAAATGCAGCTCGTGGTGAATCAAACCAGAATTTCCGTCAAGTGTACCTGACAGGTGACAGCATTATGAATAAACCTATGTCAATCTTCGATTGGTCAAGGTGGCTAAGATCTGGCCACTGTTTAAGAAGTTAGACATTAAGATGCATTTAGTCGAAACTATTATCTGTGTGAAATAAATGTATCAAAAAGTCAGGGTTCAATTGATAAAATTATTCAATCCATGCAGCAACCACTGCCGATAATTGAACTATTCGCTGAATGCATCAACGGTGGACATCTGGCAAACTACATTTAAAAATGGGTCGAAAGATTAGTGAAAGCCTCTTCCTGTCGAAGGGAAATAAAGAAACTGAACAGACTGTAGATGAACAGTGAGCAGAGAGTGAACAGACGTTTCAAAGGTAGCACCCCAATGCATTCATGTGGCGAAAGACGAGCTTTATACGGTGAACAGCATTCTCTGTTTACGTGAATTCGCTTTGCCCTCTATTAGATTATGCTAGTGTGAAAGAAACCATAGGCATTCCGCTGAAAAAAGTACCTCGTCAATTTTAGGGGATTCACGAATCTCCGTGTATTCGACCGACGTTACGGCAACAGCATCATCAAACGTCACCGATTTCTTTTCTAAAACAACAGTACCTGCTTTTACGAAAAATAAGTCAGCAACGTTTAAGTTTAACCCTACGTTCCACAGCAACGTTTAAGTCGAAAGAAACAAAGCTGGCTGGAAAAAGACCTTCTCCACGATGACTTGTGCCTCGCCACCAGTTCTGATCACTTAAATCAAACTCGCCATTAGTAGAACAAATGCCAGGCAAATCGAGCAACAACGTGTAAAATCAGAAGCTTTACTCCCACGAGAGTCAATATCCCTAACGAGACGCTGCCAGCTGACATTTTCGAGCAGCACTTACAAGTAATATTAAATTATATCAGCAGCAGCTTTGCTGGAATATACAACAGTCTTGCTTAATGTTACGGCACCGCAACAAATTGAGTACCTTTCGAACTGTCACCGGCATTTTACCCTCCATATTTTTCTGGACCTAATTTAATGTCCTGAACAACTGCACAATGTTTTTGCGGATCTGTCTGTCATGGACGGCAATAAGTTAAGGTGATTCAGTCAATATAACATCTGACTCGAAATCGAAAGTTCGAATCTCGGCAAGGTCACCCCCTTTGCAGGTGGAAATACGCGGTCATACGCTGTGGTCACGACTATTGATACTGAACAGGTTCTACTCGGTCGAGGTAAATTATCAGCATCTGTCGACGATATGTTCATTTTATGCAGTCCTTGTCGGTGATAAGGAATTCGAGCCATTTTCAGCTGAACAGCTGTATACTTCGGTGCCTGTGAAGCCTTAAATTATGAAGAAACATTAAATCTACATATTCGCTGAAGAACTCGTTGATGACTTGCAACAGTTCATTTAAAACCTGACCTGCCTGTGCAAATCATGTTTCTCTCGTGTCAAAACTATACCGTGACATTCTTCCTTAATTTATTCATTAATTTTTAAAACCTGATGCTATCTTCAGAGAGGTAAGTAGAGATACAAACCTTAACAGGGTTGACCCTCTAACCGCTGTAAACTGGGGTACTGAATATCTACAGTAAATGTCTAAGGACTGAGTTATAACGCGCAACAACGCTAAACGATTTAACATTGCTCAATCATCCGATCTTAGGCCTACCAAGAGACTGTCTAGAGAGAGACCCGTGTGAGTGCTTCGGGCAATCTAACTGCGTGACCAAACAATTAGAATTGTGATCTCATTTATTTGAACAAAAACAAGTTGCAGCTAACATTATATCAGACTTTCGTGTTCCGGATCTCGTCGTCTCTCCATACCAACAGTATTTATGCGGAACCTCATGTCTGTAGCATATATCGACAATAAACGGGGGATTCTGCACTTGCATGGCGGGCATTATTTCTGCCTACGTTCAAGGAACTTACGGGTGCAGTGTGCTTGCTTGACTCAACGCCACGACCTAGAAGTACCTAATTTTTGCAAGGCCTAATCTACAAGGTGGCAACGATTGCAGCTGGTTTCTTTTCAGACAAGGAGCTGCTCCTCTGTTCTACATAAAATCGACGAAAGTCGAGCAGGATATGAACCCGCGATCTTTCATGTGCGAACCCGTAAGCCTATGAACCCGTATGAACCTATGAACCCAAGTGCAAACCCGTATGAACCCGAGGCAAAACAGACAGTATCATAATGCACAGGGACGCAGAGAGCTGGAGCTATAATAATAAGGCAGTGACAACGAGCCATTGTGAAAATAACAGTCATGGTCTTTGTTTATTCACAGAGCAGGCCTGTACAACCTGTGCTGAATTCGCAATTATGATGCAAAAAAATAAATGCAATAAAATTTGAAGAAACTACAATGTCAGAACCTTAAAATTGCATTGAAACATACCTATCGTCCGTGACAGTGATGAATTCACCGGCCTTGAATGTCAGCTCGTTGTCTTCAGCAGCTTCGAAATCATACAGCGCCTTCGCGGTCTTGCCAACAATGGCAGATGTCGGTTTGGTTAGATACAACGGCTCAATGTGCACCTGCGGCTGGCCTTCCTTTAGGGACAACTGGATGGCTGAAAAAGGAGTAAATGTTGCTGAAACTCGCAACAAAGACAACTATCAAAAAGCACAAATTCCCAACTGTCCACGATTCTAAACGTGGCGGTCACGGTCTCGCTTATAGCGCATTTATGCTACCACAGAAGCGGTTCGAAAATGGTTTCATCAAAATATACTAAAATCATCGTTCGAAAAGGTTCAGGACAGTGTGGATTTCGCTACTGCAGGATCACTGACTCAGAACTTCACTCTCCTCCAAGTTTGCGAAAAAATACTAGGAATGTGCGAGTGGTTCATACCTGCTTGATAGATCTGGAAAATGCTTATGACAGAATACAAAGAGTCCCTGACGAATACATAGATAGTGCAGCAAGAACAAGGTGGATGTCAGGCTCATAAAACCGTTTAACGGTCAATCCATGGCTTAGTGATATAAAACGCAAAATGCTATAAAGACGCCTGTTAGCGTGCATGCTGTGAATTTCACCTAGGGGTTCTTGCTGTTTATTTTCTTGTTCACGTTTTATGGACTAAATCTGCAGATGCAGACTGGACCTTGGAGAACATCGCAGTTAGGACTGTTTGATGGAACATCGGCTGGTTAAAGATGTCATAATGTTCATCTTATGATGAGCTTCAATGATTATTTGACCGATTCACTGCTACTGGCGATGAGGCCAGGGTAAAATCGACCTAATCGAAACGAAGCTTTAGTACCCTCAAGAAAGACCACTCAGGTGGGCTCCGTAGGAAAGTGAAATGCAACTAGAAAAGGTAGAAACATCTAAGTACCTTAGTGCATCAGTCATGAGTGAAGACACTCAGGATGAAGAAACAGAATCAGAACACATGAATCGGCTGAGCGCAGTAAAGAAAGAGCTAGAATGATGTGATGATGAAGAAGGGGCTGTGTCAAAACACCTATCCTTGCCTAGAGCCACGAGTGTTAGACACTGAACAAAACAGCGCGATCCCAAATACGAGCGGAAGAAGTGGGTAACTTCGAAGGATTATTGGAGTGACAAGATTGTTAAGGTTCAAAACAGCTATCCGAGATACCTTCCCATGTGAAATGCTTCTTCTCCAGATCGAGATATCAAATTTACGACGGTTTGGACACGAAATCGCACAAGATGCCAGAAGTGGGATTCTCTTGAGAAGTCAAGGGGCGATAGAAAAAAGGTGGCTCAAATGACCGATTTGACACTGTGCGCCTTAAAATGTAGGCTACGGAGTTGGGCAAATTGGCAAAGTACAGGAACCACTGAACAAACCCCTGAAATAGCTGATTTCGCGATTCCAAAACAATAGCATGCTTCAAAAATAAATCAGGGTAATTTCAATTGAATATTAGCTATTTAAAACTGTTATTTGCAGTAAGAGATCCCAAAAGATATTTAAGTTCAACACGAAAATACGGGGTTGCAAAGGAAATATATCATTAAGGCAAACAGAAACTTCGCCAAAAATGTGCACAGAAATTATCAATCGAGAAATATGAGACCTAAACGAGAGACTGAACTCTCAGGCATGTGCACATGAACCTAGGTAACTGTTATCAAAGTCGAACGACTTTTACTTCGAGCACATATCTCCAAAGGTTAACAGCTAGTTCAGAATGCAGAACTAGACATTTAAAAGATTACTCAGCGTTTCAGGTCATTCCCAATCTCTATGGAGGGATGGCTCAAGATGGGCTAAAAATTTTATCATGAATCAGCAATGCAATCAGAAACAATTTGATAACGAACCCTATACTGAGAATCACTTGCAAGGAAATGCGCTTTGCTAATTTGCATGATGACAATTTTGCATATTTCTTAGGCAAAAAGTTAGAATGCAGTATTCTGAACATCTTTAGCCTCTTTGCTGTTGCTTTTGCACTTCAAATCAAATACTAGATCCTACCCACTGTTTAAACACCGCATCCTTGTAGAGTAAGCATTTTCAATACCTTCCGTATTTACGCGCCTATCTCTAGCAAAATCAAGTTTCATTGAAAAGGAAGATTTCGACAGATAATGTTTAGACACAGACCGCTGGTTGTTGCCAACGCTCGGTCTTGCGGTGGTCTTTTAGAATCTGTATAACTGGACAATGGCTAGGTACATCAACCAATCGATTTAGCACGTCATATTATATATCAATTGAAAGTTCTCAGTGAGTGAAGAACGATGCAATAGTCCCAATTTTCGATTAAAATTCCATAATGATAACTGTGCGACGTCAGTAAGAGCGCAAAGTCATGCGATCGCGAATTTAAATTTATGTCACTGGCAGATGGTCATCTCTATCAATTATTTGACTTCACATCTAATACTGCCTATCAATGGAAATTTCTTAGCGAGTACAATGCGATGTCGTCAAACTATCTCGTTATTATCGAGGAAATTTATCTAATTATTCCATCGTGATGACTGTGCGAGGTCGCTTAGTCAGCGCGTATTCGGGAGTTAGAGGTGACATAACTGCAGATGTAATCTGTATCAATTACTTGATTTCATCTATCTCATGTTATACATGGAAAGAAAGCTCTGAGAACAATACGAAACTTTTGTCAAAAGAATCAATGAATCTTCGTCTGATGATTTCACTGTGAGATTACGCTACCAAATTTAATCAACGCGTGAACGTTTACCATTACCAATCCTCGTGGTTTCGAGCCCCCCTCTCTCTTCCTCCTCCTCTCTCTCTCTCTCTCCTAGCGCAGCATTCCCGGCTCCCGAGATAATCTTAGTGGAGGGCAACCAATCAGCCTGTCCGTCAGCTGCGGTATCAGCCAGCGATCACTGCAAACCATCAGCGAACCTAGCTACATGCCTGGTCCACCATAGCTTCGCTTCTCTTTGCTGCTTTCAACGACGACGTCCTTCGCTTCCATTCGCTGTGATGGAGCGTAGCTTGACGTGAGATTCTCCACATTCTTTTCTCCAAACTCCCTCAGTGACAGATAGCTGACACTCTTCAGCTTTCTTGAGTGACAACGTCCCGACCATACAACACTGCCAGCAGGACTGAAGAAGTGGGCGCGAGTTTCTTTCCAGATGCTGCCGAAACCATCCTCGGTGGAATGGAAAGCGAGTCACCCGGCCCTCTTTCCCCATAAAATCTCCCCCGCCTGGTTTTGTTAGCTAATTTCTTGACCCAGGTAAATGTATTAATCGACTTGTTTTTTAGTGTATTGTTATAAACTGGACCTTCAGCAGGCATCTGATTACAGTATCTTTGTCTTTAACCCACTGAATCGAAGTGTGAGTTCTGCAGTTTTTCTCTTCAGTTCTTGCAGCATGTCTGTAGTCGAATGACGTTTTCCGCAAACAGCACCGCGTCATCAGCTAGCTTCAGGTGGCTCACACCACTTATATGCGAATGAAAACGCATTACGTTTAATTTATCCAATATGCTAGTAGATCGCAGTACATTAAACATTAATCAGCTCTATTTTTAATTCTTCCACATGCATAATAAACATGGAATTAGTAACAGTTTTGCCATTAGCCAAAAGTTTCATGCTTTACTGCAATAGCCATTATTACATTACTACCAATACCAATTATGTTCTCTTGTACACTTTATGCAGTCTGAATCCAAATGTGCGCTATGAAAAAAAAATGAACACACAACATCCTACTGACGTAACATGCTCGATACTAACTGCCCTCGGTTCATTGTAGGACATCTTAAAGTGACCAAAATCTTCACCGGTTAACTAAAGCCGCAAAATGCCATACAACAAGAAAAGGATAATCAAACCTATTTGACTGACCATGAAATTCGGCAGAATACCTTTTGCCAAATCCTCCTCTTCCTTTTTGAGAACGGTTGGATCAGGAGTATGGGAAGAAGTCTTTTTCTGAAAGCAAACAAGACTCTAAGAAACAGAATGAGCGTGGAATCTCACCTTCGTTCCGTCATCAACAGCAAAATCAAATCCTTCGCGCAAAAGATCGGCGTACAAAATTTGTATGCTTCTAAATCACGGATAGCATGAGTTAGCGGGAAAGAAAAAAGACATGGAATTACCCTAACGAGTGATCCGCGTTTTCTTCGTCACACCACCGCTTAATCAGCGCTCGAGTTTTTTCCGCGATCAGTCTGTTGCTCTAAACCGAAACTAAGCAAACACTGAAGGCATAACCTGCTTTAAACGACAATGCTGCTATCTACGATTACCGAAAAAGCATAGCCGTTAATTACAAAAATTATGCAAGGCGTCAGATAATAAGAATTACATAAAAGAATTATTACGCAGTCATCATACATGCAGCTTTACGTTGCTGCTTCTTGATTATGACAACGCTTTCAACTCTTTCGGTCACATGCAATATCGGAAACTTACGCTGAATATTTGACTGGCATTACAGCTATTTTAAAGTTGCAGACGCCACAGAGGAAACTCGTCTGCAATGCCAGCCAGCGGAGTTCTCTGATTCTCTCCTCTCTGATCGACTGGCTCTCTGAGAGCAAACTAACGCATCAGGCTTACTGTTGCGACAACCTTATTTGACATCTCTGGCGAAGCAGCGACAATTCGTGTTAGGCCGCTAACACATTTTAGACTTGAAAAAAGTCAATGACACAGGCCTCTGACAGAAATTGTATTCACCTTATCATTGTGTTCGAAATTGCATTCACTGCCTTTAGCCGAACTGCAACAACTAGTAGACCTAGAGTTCAAATGGACAAAATCTGTTATATCAGTGACAAAAAACTACGTTTCCTGGTGGAGTAAGAGCGACAACATTGAATTTCACGTCATTTCGATATTCATGAAAACAAATTTTAGATGAAAAGTCTTATTTTTTAAACGAGGTTCATCGGTATTTATGAGCATCAGAAGCCAAGGTAAACCAGAGTTTCACTTGCTACGTGTTGCTTATGAAACTTTAAAAAGACCGAGACTAGTCAAATGACTGATCTGTGTTGATCTGAAATATATTAAGGTTGTGACCATGAACCAAATATAGAATCACTGAAGCGTTTAAAATGTTCTAGACAATTATGTGAATCGGATCTCGTAACTAACAAATAGATCATGAAACCGGCACTGAGTCGTTTTGTCAACGATGATCAGATAAATGCCTGTACAGCAAGAGGACCCTAGAACAAATGCTCAAAAGGCACAGGTGCGAAAATACATTTCAGGTTTAGGATTAAACCTGAAGCTTCCATGTGAAAAATCAGATGCCACTCCTCAGCATTTAGTGGCATTACTTAATTCTGACTAGGTTTGTTTCCTATTCTCAACGTCAGTCGTCTCAAAACCACTACATTTGGCTACGTAGCTAGACTCTGAACAAAAACGAATTTTTCCGCAGTATCTCATGGCAGCAACAACATTTGTAACAGTTTCGTAGTCGCCTATGTTCTCATGCTTTACTG